GCCTCCTCCTCCTCTTCCTCCGCCTCCTCCTCCGCCTCCTCTGCCGTCTCCGCCTCCTCCGCTTCCTCCCCATCCGCCTCCTCATCCACCTCATCCTCCGCCACTTCATTCTCATCCACCTGCTCCTCCTCATTATCGTCCTTCCTCCTCCTCCCTCCTCCTCCTCCTCCTCCTCCTCCTCCTCATCCGCCTCCTCCTCCTCATCCTCTTCGTCTTATGTGTAGTCGTAGTAGTATTAGTCAGATTATTCTTCTTATTCGCATTAGTAGTATTCATTTTACTCCTCTTCTTAAACTTATTCGTATCATCAATCGTAATATTATTATCAGCATGCTGTTTAGTAGTCTTATTCTTGTTATTACTATTAGTACGATTAAGATGTTCATGCTTAATGCTATTAGTAGTAGTACTGGTCTTGTTATTATTATTATTATTATAAGTCGTATTATTATTACTCATCATCCTCCTCCTCATCATCAGCATCCTCATCATCCTCATCATCCTCATCATCCTCATCCTCCCTCCCTCCCTTCCTCCCTCCCTCCCTCCCTCCCTCCCTCCCCCCTCCCTAGTCCGCTCTCCCTCCTCCCTCCCTCCTCCCTCCATCCCCCGTCCCTCATCTAACCTTCCTCATCCTTCGTCCCTCCTCCTTCCTCCCGCGCCTCCCTCCTCCTTCCTCCTCCCTCAAAAAGCATCCTGCCTTCCGCCTCCTCTCTGCCCCCCCGCCTCCTCCGCCCTCCTCCTCTCTCATCCTCCTCCTCCTCCCTCTATCCTCCCCCCTGCCGCCTTCCTCCTTCCTCCTCATCCTCCCTTTTCCCCCTTCTCCTCCGCCCTCCGCCTCCGCCTCGCTCCACATCCGCCTCCGCCTCCGCCTACGGCCTCCGCCTCCTCCTCCTCCTCCTTATCCTCGTCTCCTCCCCTTACTCTCGCCTCCTCCTCCTCCTCGTCCTCGTCCTCCTCCTCCTCCTCCTCCTCCGCCTCCTCCTCCTCACCCTCCTACTCTATTCCTTTTCCTTATGAATAAGTCCTCTATGTCGCACCCCCGAGGCCAATCGTAGGGGCGGGCCGGCGTTTCGCCTGGGACTTCCTTACTATTTCTGGGCCTGGGGTTTCGAAACCGACAACAGCTTCACAGATGGAGGGCGGGTCGCTTCCAAAATGTTGCTCTCGCCTTAGGGCCGCGCATTCGTTTTTTAAATTCGCAAGATCTTCACGGATTGAACGCGGGTTGTTTTCAAAATGTGGTTCTCGCCGCAGCGCCGCGCACATTTGTTTTGAAGATTCGCAAGAGCGTCACGGATGGAGGGCGGGTCGTTTTCAAAATGTGCCTCTCGCCGTAGCGCCGCGCACAGTCGTCTTAAAAGTTTACAGCCGCCTCACGAATGGAAGGCGGGTCGGTTCCAAAATGTGGCTCTCGCTTTTGGGCAGCGCACATTCGCTTTCAAAATTTGCCAGAATTTCACCGGTTGAGGGCGGGTCGCTTTCACGATGTGGTTCTCGCCTTAGCAACGCGCACACTCGTGTTGAAAATTCGCATGAGTTTCCTGATTGAGGGCTGGTCGCTTTCACAATGAGGTTCTCGCCTTAGCAACGCGCACACTCGTGTTAAATTATCCTGGCGAAGGACCCAACCATATGCAATTGTGAATACTGCAATTGTGAATATCTTCTCGGTGGAGCCCCGTACGGGGCCACGAAACGTACGAGGGGTGTGCCGAAACGGGTGTGCGGGACGCATGCGGGCACACCCACTGGGGCCTTCGGTGGAGCTCTCTATGGGGCCACGAAACGTGTGAGGGGTGTGCCGAAAAGGGTGTGCGGGACGCATGCGGGCACACCCACTGGGACCTTCGGCGGAGTTCCCTATGGGGCCACGGAACGCGTGAGGGGCGTGCCGAAATGGGTGTGGCTGACGCATGCGGGCGCGGGCACTGGGGCCTTCGGCGGAGCTCCCTATGGGGCCACGAAACGTGTGAGGGGTGTGCCGAAATGGGTGTGGCTGACGCATGCGGGCGCGGGCAATGTGGCCCTTCGGGTGGAGCTCCCTGTGGAAAGCCACGAAACGTGTGAGGTGTGCGACTAGGTGGGCGAACGCATGCGGGCGCCGGGCACATGGGGCCTTCGGTGGGAGCTCCCTATGGAGCCACGAAGCGTGTGAGGGGTGTGCCGAAATGGGTGTGGTGACGCATGCGGGCGCGGGCACTGGGGCTGGTGGAGCTCCTATGGGGCCACGAAACGTGTGAGGGGGTGCCGAAATGGGTGTGGGTGACGCATGTGGGCGCGGGCACTGGGGCCTTCGGTGGAGCTCCCTATGGAGCACGAAACGTGTTAGGGGGTGCCGAATGGGTGTGGCTGACGCATGCGGGCGAGGGCACTGGGGCCTTCGGTGGAGCTCCCTATGCAGCCACGAAACGTGTGAGAGGGTGTGCCGAAATGGGTGTGGCTGACGCATGCGGGCGCGGGCACTGGGGCCTTCGGTGGAGCTCCCTATGGAGCCACGAAACGTGTGAGGGGTGTGCCGACATGGGTGTGGCTGACGCATGCGGGCCGCGGGCACTGGGGCCTTCGGTGGAGCTCCCTATGGAGCCACGAAACGTGCGAGGGGTGTGCCGAAATGGGTGTGGGGGACGCATGCGGGCCGCGGGCACTGGGGCCTTCGGCGGAGCTCCCTATGGAGCCACGAAACGTGTGAGGGGTGTACCGAAATGGGTGTGGGTGACGCATGCGGCCGCGGGCACTGGGGCCTTCGGTGGAGCCCCATATGGAGCCACGAAACGTGTGAGGGGTGTGCCGACATGGGTGTGTGGGGGACGCATGCGGGCCGCGGGCACTGGGGCCTTCGGTGGAGCTCCCTATGGAGCCACGAAACGTGTGAGGGGTGTGCCGAAATGGGTGTGGGTGACGCATGCGGGCGCGGGCACTGGGGCCTTCGGTGGAGCTCCCTATGGAGACACGAAGCGTGTGAGGGGTGTGCCGAAATGGGTGTGGGTGACGCATGCGGGCGCGGGCACTGGGGCCTTCGGTGGAGCTCCCTATGGAGCCACGAACGTGTGAGGGGTGTGCCGAAATGGGTGTGGGTGACGCATGCGGGCGCGGGCACTGGGGCCTTCGGTGGAGCTCCTATGGGGCTACGAAACGCTGTACTGGGTGGGTGAAACGCAGGAAGAGGGGGAGGAGGGAGGAGGAGAGGAGGAGGAGAGGAGAGGAGAGGAGAGGAGAGGAGGGAGGAGAGGAGAGGAGAGGAGAGGAGAGGAGAGGAGAGGAGAGGAGAGGAGAGGAGAGGAGAGGAGGGAGAGGAGAGAGGAGAGGAGAGGAGAGGAGAGGAGAGGAGAGGAGAGGAGAGGAGAGGAACGCGGGGCACCGTCTCTTCAAAACGAGGACCCAACACCACAGGATGGATGGGAAAAATCGCAAGATGTTCCCGGATTAAGGGCAGTTCTTTTTCAAAGTGTGGCTCTCGCCTTAGCGCCGCGCTCGTTCGTTTCACAACTGTGCCCGAGTTTCGCGGATTCGCTTGGCTACCATTCCGGATTTTTCCGAACGATTCAGGACTGTCATGGCGCAACAGTTGCGTTGATTCGCGGTGCTGAAGTCCCAGGAACGGCGTCCTGGCACGATTCGGGATCGTCAAGACGCAACAGTCAGGTAGCCTCGTGACGTTCAAGTCCTGAGAAGTGTGTTTCGGCACACTTCAAGATTTTCACACGGTTGTCTCCCAAGGGGCACTTCCTTCAGTGAAAGTGACACGGTTGTCTCCCAAGGGGCGCTTCCTTCAGTGAAAGTGAGCCCTGTAAGTGGCCTAAAAGCTTGGAGGGAGGATGTATTCCAACATCGTTGGTGATTATTGGGTTTACACTGGTCTTCCTCCTTCTCCTGTTCCTCCTGCTCCTCCTCCGCCTCCTCCTTTCCGTTTCCTTATAAAGAACTCCACCCTGTCGCACCCCGAGGCCGGTCGAACGAGCGGGCCACGCGTTTCGCCTGAGACTTGCTCACCGCTTATGAGCCTGGAGGTTGAAACTTACAACAGCTTCACGGATGGAGGGCGGGTGATTTTCATGATGTGGCTCTCGCCTCAGCGCTGCGCACATTGGTATTAAAGTTTGCGACAGCGTCAAGCATGGAAGGCAGGCCGTTTTCAAAATGTGGATCTCGCCGTAGCAACGCGCACACTCGTGGTAAAAATTAGCAGCAGCTTCACAGATGGTGGGCGGTTCCTTTTCAAAATGTGGCTCTCGCCTTGCGCCGCGAACTTTCGTCTTAAATACAACAGCTTCACGGATGGAGGGCATTTGACTTTCAACATGTGTTTCTCGCCTTAGCGCCGCGCACATTCGTTTTAAGAGCTTACAAAAGCTTCAAGGATCATCACGGCTAAGATTCCAAACATGGCGTGTTAACGAAATGTCGGACAGTCAGGGCGCAACAGGTACGTTGATTCGTGGTGCCGAAGTCCCAGACATGTTGTGGTGGCACGATTCAGGATCTTCCAGATGCGACAGTGAAAGTCATTCGCGGCGTGAAAGTCCCACGAATGGTGTTCTGGCAAAGTTCAAGATGTTCAAAAGGTTGTCTTCCAACGGGGCATTTCACTCAGAGAAAATGAACCCTTGCGGGGGACTGAAGAGGGAACTAAGAGGGACGGTGTATTGCAATATCGTTGATGAATCTTGGGTGCACACTAGTCCTCCTCCTCTTCCTCCTCCTCCTCCTCCTCCTCCTCCTCCTCCTCCTCTTCCTCCTCCGCCTCACACGTACGTGGTACTGGGTACTGGTGGCTGTGGGGTCAATCTGACGCAGCCATCCCTCCTCCTTCTCCTCATCCTCCTCCTTCTCCTCCTCCTCCTCCTCCTCGCCCTCGTCCTCCTTCTCCTCCTCTCTGTCCTCTTCCCTCCAGCCACACCACCACCCCACTCCTCCCGCCCCCGCCTCTGCACCGATCGCCCAGGCGATCCCAGGATCGTCGGAGGAGGACAGGACGGGAGGATACCATCAGTCAAGCTGTCCTGTGAGGCTCCTAAGGTCCGAGGGGTGGCTTCAGCCGTTTTCTGGGGGTTCTGAAGGTCGCCGGGACGCCGACTGACCAAACTGTGCCGATCTTAGGCGGGCCGACGCTGCGCCGAAGGTCGGTACATGCGCCCTCCTGGCTCAGAGAGGAAGGTGCGTGCGACGATCCCAGATCCGGGGAGTGGCCTGGGCAGAGTCACCGCGCTTGTATAGTTGGAGTCCACCGACGGGAGGAAGAGCTGCTGGCGGAGGCGACTCACATGCAGACTGGCGCTCCCGCCTCGGCGCTGGCCAAGCCTAGCTGGGGAAAAAGAGGAGCATCTGATCACGAGGAGGAGAAGAAGGGACGGTGAGGAGGAGTAGCAGGACCAAGAGCTGTGAGGCATAAGCTGTGCCGCGGAAGGGGTCCCCCGCGAGCCTCAGGCGAGGAAGTGGGCGACCAGCGCCGCCAGCACAGCGGCCAAGCCCAGGCCAAAGCGCGGCTTTGCCGCACTCCAGGTGCACTGCATGCGCTCACTGATGACCGGGCCGACCTGGGTCACGATCTCGTCCGCGGACTCCTGCAGACCAGCACACTGCGTTGTCGCGAGCGACATGAAGTCCTTAACGAGGTCGATCGTCTCCGGCGTCATGGGGTAAATCTTGCTCATGTGCGGCAGCATCAGCTCGGACATCTGCCAGATATTGTGCAGGGAGGTGTGCATAGTCGCGAGCTTCGTGTTGTAGTCTGTGATGTTGGACATGAGCCCAGAGATCTCGTTGCACGCGTCGGCCTGGGACGCAGCCGCCAGCGCGCTCGCGTTCACGCGCAGCGGGACGGCCTGCTCGCGCAGCTGCTTAATGATGGGCATGAAGGCCTGTCGCAACTCCCTTGGCATGACGACGTTCAGGTCCCTGGCGAGCTTCTGCGCGTCCGCGTGCATGGACTTGACGCGGAAAGACGCCTCGTGGAAGTAGCGCGTCATTAAGAACGACAGCTCCACGTCAGACGCCCTGCCGCTAGCAAGGGCGAACTTCGCCGTCTTGCGGCGGGTGATGTTCAGGAAGTCCTGGACGGTGTTGGCGATCTCTATCTTGGCCTTGTTGATGCGCTTCATGAAAAGCGGGTTCTCCGTGGCCTTCGGGAGAGCCATCATCACCTCGACCATGATGCCCAGAGTGACCTCGCCCAGCATGCCCGACATCTCGGAGTTAGCCTTCGCGCCCATGAGCATCTGCGCCTTCTTGATCATCGCCTCCTTGGCGGCGCGATGGGCCTCAATCTTGGCCAGACGCTCGTCCTCCTTCGCCCTCTTCCTGTCCAGAATGACCTTACGGCGCTTCTCCGCCTCCTTGCGCAGATCCTTCATGGCGAGTGTGGCTTCCTTCTTCGCAAAGTCAAGCTCCTGCTGCTTCTCCTTGAAGCTCCGGAGCGTCCTCTTCAGGGCTTCCGTTTTCTTCTTGAAGTCCGCCTGCAGGAGTGGGATGATCTGGTCCAGGGAGGCAGTCAGATTATCCTTGGACCTTTGCGTGCGGTTGGCCTTGCGCCACTTCGGCCTGCCCTCCACCATCACCTCGATCATCTCCTCCAGCTCGTCCCCGACGTTCAGCACCGACTCGTCCTCGAAGCCAGTTTCAATCTCATCCCCACGCTGAAGAAGGCTCAGCTCGGGGACATCCGCAGTCAGCGCCGCTCCAACCAAGGCGAGGCAAGCAAGGACGCCCGCTCGCATCATGCTTCCTGAAAACAAATGTAGAGGCGAGTGTAGACAAGACTAGCGCCACATATGTGCTAAAACACAGACGGCCGGAGCGCCTGAGCCCATATGTTTGCGGAGTGGTCAGAGGAGGAAGAGAGGCGAGGATAGAGAAACGTTGAACGACAACCAAAATGAATTCCGCCAACCCTTGGGAGTTTCTTCCAACCCCTCTCCCCCTATACCCCTCACACTGGGTCTGGAGGGGAGGGCGAAGTGAGTGTCAGAGGGCCCTTGTTGGCCCAAGATAGCTCCAAGATGGCTCCAGGTAGCTAAAGATGGCCTCCAAGATGGCACAAGATAGCCCAGGATGACTCAAATGGCATCCAACATGCCTCCAAGAGGTGCCAAGCCCACCCCAAGACGACTTCAATTGGCCGCGGAACCTCCCGAGGATGCTCCCGAGAGCCCCAAATCCTTGCAAATCCGTAAGCAAACGTATGATCTTCGCCGTCTTGCCGTTTCGCTTCCAGCGGCCTCTTGAGGCCTCAAGATCATTGCAAGACGGCACAGCCCCAAGATGGGTCCAAGAGGGCCCCAAGACGGCCAGGAGCGCCCCATCAGGCCCCAAGAGGCGCTTTCACGGCATCCGACTGGGGGAGGGCGTAATTGATTGCCCCCCTCTTCAATGAATTGTCCCCAAGATGGCCCGAAGAGGGCTCCCAAGAGGGCCCCCCAGGGAGCCCCAAGAGAGCCCCAGGCCTCCAAAAAGGCCCACAGACGGCCCCGAGATGGCTCGAGCAGGTTGAAGTGAGGCTCCCATTTCGAAAAATCCGTGAAGGTGCTGACTCCTGGACCTGCTCAGGCTGATCACGACCTTCGGTTCGACGGCTGCCCTCCCCTCTTTGTTTCACTGCATGCTCCGACATTTGCAGGATCAATGCAGCTCGCCTGCGAAGCGTTCATCAGAGCGAATCAAGTGCGGAAGGACTGAAGGACGGGATGACGGAAGGAACCAATCGAGAGAGGTATTTTAGGAGGGGGGCAGCAGCAGCAGCAGGAGGAGCTGTGAGGCATAAGCTGTGCCGCGGAAGGGGTCCCCGCGAGCCTCAGGCGAAGAAGTGGGCGACCAGCGCCGCCAGCACAGCGGCCAAGCCCAGGCCAAAGCGCGGCTTTGCCGCACTCCAGGTGCACTGCATGCGCTCACTGATGACCGGGCCGACCTGGGTCACGATCTCGTCCGCGGACTCCTGCAGACCAGCACACTGCGTTGTCGCGAGCGACATGAAGTCCTTAACGAGGTCGATCGTCTCTGGCGTCATGGGGTAAATCTTGCTCATGTGCGGCAGCATCAGCTCGGACATCTGCCAGATATTGTGCAAGGAGGTGTGCATAGTCGCGAGCTTCGTGTTGTAGTCTGTGATGTTGGACATGAGCCCAGAGATCTCGTTGCACGCGTCGGCCTGGGACGCAGCCGCCAGCGCGCTCGCGTTCACGCGCAGCGGGACGGCCTGCTCGCGCAGCTGCTTAATGATGGGCATGAAGGCCTGTCGCAACTCCCTTGGCATGACGACGTTCAGGTCCCTGGCGAGCTTCTGCGCGTCCGCGTGCATGGACTTGACGCGGAAAGACGCCTCGTGGAAGTAGCGCGTCATTAAGAACGACAGCTCCACGTCGGACGCCCTACCGCTAGCAAGGGCGAACTTCGCCGTCTTGCGGCGGGTGATGTTCAGGAAGTCCTGGACGGTGTTGGCGATCTCTATCTTGGCCTTGTTGATGCGCTTCATGAAAAGCGGGTTCTCCGTGGCCTTCGGGAGAGCCATCATCACCTCGACCATGATGCCCAGAGTGACCTCGCCCAGCATGCCCGACATCTCGGAGTTAGCCTTCGCGCCCATGAGCATCTGCGCCTTCTTGATCATCGCCTCCTTGGCGGCGCGATGGGCCTCAATCTTGGCCAGACGCTCGTCCTCCTTCGCCCTCTTCCTGTCCAGAATGACCTTACGGCGCTTCTCCGCCTCCTTGCGCAGATCCTTCATGGCGAGTGTGGCTTCCTTCTTCGCAAAGTCAAGCTCCTGCTGCTTCTCCTTGAAGCTCCGGAGCGTCCTCTTCAGGGCTTCCGTTTTCTTCTTGAAGTCCGCCTGCAGGAGTGGGATGATCTGGTCCAGGGAGGCAGTCAGATTATCCTTGGACCTTTGCGTGCGGTTGGCCTTGCGCCACTTCGGCCTGCCCTCCACCATCACCTCGATCATCTCCTCCAGCTCGTCCCCGACGTTCAGCACCGACTCGTCCTCGAAGCCAGTTTCAATCTCATCCCCACGCTGAAGAAGGCTCAGCTCGGGGACATCCGCAGTCAGCGCCGCTCCAACCAAGGCGAGGCAAGCAAGGACGCCCGCTCGCATCATGCTTCCTGAGGCAAATGTAAGATGCAATTGTAAATAAGTCTAGCGCCACATATGTGCTAAAGCACAAGCGGCCTGAGCCCATATGTTTACGGAGTGGTCAGAGGAGGAGGAGGAGGAGGAAGAGGAGGAGGGGGGAGGAGGAGGATGCAGAAAAGATGAGCAACACCAATAATAAGTTCCACCAACCCTCTGGGCGTACGTAGGTGGTTTGGGAAGTTCGTTCTTCCAACCCCTCTGAACTATAGCCCTCCCCCTCGGTCTGGAGGGGGAGGGCGAAATGAGTGTCAGAGAGCCCTTGTTAACCCAAGATGGCTCCAAGATGGCTCCAGGTAGCTAAAGATGGCCTCCAAGATGGCACAAGATAGCCCAGGATGACTCAAATAGCATCCAACATGCCTCCAACAGGCGCCAAGCCCACCCCAAGACGACTTCAATTGGCCGCGGAGCCTCCCGAGGACGCTCCCGAGAGCCCCAAATCCTTGCAAAACCGTAAGCAAACGTATGATCTTCGCCGTCTTGCCGTTTCGCTTCCAGCGGTCTCTTGAGGCCTCAAGGTCATTGCAAGACGGCGCAGCCCCAAGATGGGTCCAAGAGGGCCCCAAGACGGCCAGGAGCGCCCCATCAGGCCCCAAGAGGAGCTTTCACGGCATCCGACTGGGGGGGGGGCGTAATTGATTGCCCCCCTCTTCAATGAACTGTCCCCAAGATGGCCCGAAGAGGGCTCCCAAGAGGGCCCCCCAGGGAGCCCCAAGAGAGCCCCAGGCCTCCAAAAAGGCCCACAGACGGCCCCGAGATGGCTCGAATAGGCTGAAGTGAGGCTCCCATTTCGAAAAATCCGTGAAGGTGCTGACTCCTGGGCCTGCTCAGGCTGATCACGACCTTCGGTTCGACGGCTGCCCTCCCCTCTTTGTTTCACTGCATGCTCCGACATTTGCAGGATCAATGCAGCTCGCCTGGGCATCGTTTCTGGATGGGCTGGAGGGGCTACGCGAAGCGTTCAGAATCAGAGCGAATCGAGCGTGGAAGGACTGAAGGACGGGATGACGGAAGGAACCAATCGAGAGAGGTATTTTAAGAGGGGGGCAGCAGCAGCAATCAGAGCTGTGAGGCATAAGCTGTGCCGCGGAAGGGGTCCCCGCGAGCCTCAGGCGAGGAAGTGAGCGACCAATGCCGCCAGCACAGCGGCCAAGCCTAGGCCAAAGCGCGGCTTTGCCGCACTCCAGGTGCACTGCATGCGCTCACTAATGACCGGGCCGACCTGGGTCACGATCTCGTCCGCAGACTCTTGCAGACCAGCACACTGCGTTGTCGCGAGCGACATGAAGTCCTTGACGAGGTCGATCGTCTCTGGCGTCATGGGGTAAATCTTGCTCATGTGCGGCAGCATCAGCTCGGACATCTGCCAGATATTGTGCAGGGAGGTGTGCATAGTCGCGAGCTTCGTGTTGTAGTCTGTGATGTTGGACATGAGCCCAGAGATCTCGTTGCACGCGTCGGCCTGGGACGCAGCCGCCAGCGCGCTCGCGTTCACGCGCAGCGGGACCGCCTGCTCGCGCAGCTGCTTAATGATGGGCATGAAGGCCTGTCGCAACTCCCTTGGCATGACGACGTTCAGGTCCCTGGCGAGCTTCTGCGCGTCCGCGTGCATGGACTTGACGCGGAAAGACGCCTCGTGGAAGTAGCGCGTCATTAAGAACGACAGCTCCACGTCGGACGCCCTACCGCTAGCAAGGGCGAACTTCGCCGTCTTGCGGCGGGTGATGTTCAGAAAGTCCTGGACGGTGTTGGCGATCTCTATCTTGGCCTTGTTGATGCGCTTCATGAAAAGCGGGTTCTCCGTGGCCTTCGGAAGAGCCATCATCACCTCGACCATGATGCCAAGAGTGACCTCGCCCAGCATGCCCGACATCTCGGAGTTGGCCTTCGCGCCCATGAGCATCTGCGCCTTCTTGATCATCGCCTCCTTGGCGGCGCGATGGGCCTCAATCTTGGCCAGACGCTCGTCCTCCTTCGCCCTCTTCCTGTCCAGAATGACCTTACGGCGCTTCTCCGCCTCCTTGCGCAGATCCTTCATGGCGAGTGTGGCTTCCTTCTTCGCAAAGTCGAGCTCCTGCTGCTTCTCCTTGAAGCTCCGGAGCGTCCTCTTCAGGGCTTCCGTTTTCTTCTTGAAGTCCGCCTGCAGGAGTGGGATGATCTGGTCCAGGGAGGCAGTCAGATTATCCTTGGACCTTTGCGTGCGGTTGGCCTTGCGCCACTTCGGCCTGCCCTCCACCATCACCTCGATCATCTCCTCCAGCTCGTCCCCGACGTTCAGCACCGACTCGTCCTCGAAGCCAGTTTCAATCTCATCCCCACGCTGAAGAAGGCTCAGCTCGGGGACATCCGCAGTCAGCGCCGCTCCAACCAAGGCGAGGCAAGCAAGGACGCCCGCCCGCATCATGCCTTCGGAGGCAAATGTAAGATGCAATTGTAAACAAGATCAGCCCCACATTATGTGCTAAAACACAAACGGCCTGAGCCCATGTGTTTGCGGAGTGGTCAGAGGAGGAAGAGGGGGAGGATAGAGAAACGCTGAAAAGCATGAAGAATAAATTCCACCAACCCTCTGGGCATACGTAGGTGGCTTTGGAAGTTCGTTCTTCCAACCCCTCTCCCCCTATACCCCTCCCCCTCGGTCTGGAGGGGGAGGGCAAAGTGAGTGTCAGAGGGCCCTTGTTGGCCCAAGATAGCTCCAAAATGGCCTCAGATAGCTAAAGATGGCCCCCAAGATTGCACAAGATAGCCCAAGATGTCTCAACATGGCATCCAACATGCCTCCAAGAGGCCCCAAGCCCTCCCCAAGACGACTTCAAGTGACCGCGGAGCCTCCCGAGGACGCTCCCGAGAGCCCCAAATCCTTGCAAAATCGTAAGCACATGTATGAGATTCGCCGTCTCGCCTTTTCGCTTCCAGCGGCCTCTTGCGGCCTCAAGATGATTGCAAGATGGTCCAGCCCCAAAATGAGTCCAAGAGGGCTCCAAGACGGCCAAGAGCGCCCCATCAGGCCCCAAGAGGCGCTTTCACGACATCCGACTGGGGGGGGGCGTAATTGATTGCCCCCCTCTTCAATGAATCGTCCCCAAGATGGCCCGAAGAGGGCTCCCAAGAGGGCCCCAAGGAGGCCCCAAGATAGCCTCAGGCCTCCAAAAAGGCCCACAGAGGGCCCCGAGATGGCTCGAATAGGCTGCCATGAGGCTCCCATATCGAAAAATCCGTGAAGGTGCTGACTCCTGGGCCTGCTCAGGTTGATCACGACCTTCGGTTCGACGGCTGCCCTCCCCTCCTTGTTTCACTGCATGCTCCGACATTTGCAGGATCAGTGCAGCTCGCCTGGGCATCGTTTCTGGATAGGCTGGAGGGGCTACGCGAAGCGTCAACAACCAGAGCGCATCAAGTGCGGAAGGACTGAAGGACGGGATGACGGAAGGTACAAATCGAGAGAAATATTTTAGGAGGGGGGCAGCAGCAGCAGCAGCAGGAGCTGTGAGGCATAAGCTGTGCCGCGGAAGGGGTCCCCCGCGAGCCTCAGGCGAGGAAGTGGGCGACCAGCGCCGCCAGCACAGCGGCCAAACCCAGGCCAAAGCGCGGCTTTGCCGCACTCCAGGTGCACTGCATGCGCTCACTGATGACCGGGCCGACCTGGGTCACGATCTCGTCCGCGGACTCCTGCAGACCAGCACACTGCGTTGTCGCGAGCGACATGAAGTCCTTGACGAGGTCGATCGTCTCTGGCGTCATGGGGTAAATCTTGCTCATGTGCGGCAGCATCAGCTCGGACATCTGCCAGATATTGTGCAGGGAGGTGTGCATAGTCGCGAGCTTCGTGTTGTAGTCTGTGATGTTGGACATGAGCCCAGAGATCTCGTTGCACGCGTCGGCCTGGGACGCAGCCGCCAGCGCGCTCGCGTTCACGCGCAGCGGGACCGCCTGCTCGCGCAGCTGCTTAATGATGGGCATGAAGGCCTGTCGCAACTCCCTTGGCATGACGACGTTCAGGTCCCTGGCGAGCTTCTGCGCGTCCGCGTGCATGGACTTGACGCGGAAAGACGCCTCGTGGAAGTAGCGCGTCATTAAGAACGACAGCTCCACGTCGGACGCCCTACCGCTAGCAAGGGCGAACTTCGCCGTCTTGCGGCGGGTGATGTTCAGGAAGTCCTGGACGGTGTTGGCGATCTCTATCTTGGCCTTGTTGATGCGCTTCATGAAAAGCGGGTTCTCCGTGGCCTTTGGGAGAGCCATCATCACCTCGACCATGATGCCCAGAGTGACCTCGCCCAGCATGCCCGACATCTCGGAGTTGGCCTTCGCGCCCATGAGCATCTGCGCCTTCTTGATCATCGCCTCCTTGGCGGCGCGATGGGCCTCAATCTTGGCCAGACGCTCGTCCTCCTTCGCCCTCTTCCTGTCCAGAATGACCTTACGGCGCTTCTCCGCCTCCTTGCGCAGATCCTTCATGGCGAGTGTGGCTTCCTTCTTCGCAAAGTCAAGCTCCTTTTGCTTCTCCTTGAAGCTCCGGAGCGTCCTCTTCAGGGCTTCCGTTTTCTTCTTGAAGTCCGCCTGCAGGAGTGGGATGATCTGGTCCAGGGAGGCAGTCAGATTATCCTTGGACCTTTGCGTGCGGTTGGCCTTTCGCCACTTCGGCCTGCCCTCCACCATCACCTCGATCATCTCCTCCAGCTCGTCCCCGACGTTCAGCTCTGACTCGTCCTCGAAGCCAGTTTCAATCTCATCCCCACGCTGAAGAAGGCTCAGCTCGGGGACATCCGCAGTCAGCGCCGCTCCAACCAAGGCGAGGCAAGCAAGGACGCCCGCCCGCATCATGTCTCCGGAGGCAGATGTAAGAGGCGAGTGTTGAAAAGACTAGCGCCACATTTGTGCTAAAGCACAAGCGGCCTGAGCCCATATGTTTACGGAGTGGTCCGAGGAGGAAGAGGGCGGAGGATAGAGAAACGTTAAACAACAACAACAAAAAATCCAACAACCCTCTGGGCATACGTAGATGGTTTTGGGAGTTTCTTCGCCCAACCCCTTTTCCCCTTTACCCCTCCCCCTGGGTTTGGAGGGGGAGGGCGAAATGAGTGTCAGAGGGCCCTTGTTGGCCCAAGATAGCTCCAAGATGGCTCCAGGTCGCTAAAGATGGCCTCCAAGATGGCCCAAGATAGCTCAGGATAAGTCAAAATGGCATCCAACATGCCTCCAAGAGGCGCCAAGCCCACCCCAAGACGACTTCAAGTGGCCGCGGAGCCTCGCGAGGACGCTCCCGAGAGCCCCAAATCCTTGCAAAACCGTAAGCAAATGTATGAGCTTTGCCGTCTCGCCGTTTCGCTTCCAGCGGCCTCTTGAGGCTTCAAGATTAATACGAGACGGCCCAGCCCCAAGATGGGTCCAAGAGGGCCCCAAGACTGCCAGGAGCGCCCCATCAGGCCCCAAGAGGCGCTTTCACGGCATCCGACTGGGGGGGGGCGTAATTGGTTGCCCCCCTCTTCAACGAATTGTCCCCAAGATGGCCCGAAGAGGGCCCCCAAGAAGGGCCCAAGGGGGCCCCAAGAGAGCCCCAGGCCTCCAAAAAGGCCCACAGACTGACGGCCCCGAGATGGCTCGAACAGGCTGCTGTGAGGCTCCCATTTCGAAAAATCCGTGAAGGTGCTGACTCCTGGGCCTGCTCAGGCTGATCACGACCTTCGGTTCGACGGCTGCCCTCCCCTCTTTGTTTCACTGCATGCTCCGACACTTGCAGGATCAATGCAGCTCGCCTGGGCATCGTTCCTGGATGGGCTGGAGTGGCTACGCGAAGCGTCAAGAATCAGAGCGAATCAAGTGCGGAAGGACTGAAGGACGGGATGACGGAAGGAACCAATCGAGAGAGGTATTTTAAGAGGGGGGCAGCAGCAGCAGCAGCAGCAGGAGGAGCTGTGAGGCATAAGCTGTGCCGCGGAAGGGGTCCCCCGCGAGCCTCAGGCGAGGAAGTGGGCGACCAGCGCCGCCAGCACAGCGGCCAAGCCCAGGCCAAAGCGTGGCTTTGCCGCACTCCAGGTGCACTGCATGCGCTCACTGATGACCGGGCCGACCTGGGTCACGATCTCGTCCGCGGACTCCTGCAGACCAGCACACTGCGTTGTCGCGAGCGACATGAAGTCCTTGACGAGGTCGATCGTCTCCGGCGTCATGGGGTAAATCTTGCTCATGTGCGGCAGCATCAGCTCGGACATCTGCCAGATATTGTGCAGGGAGGTGTGCATAGTCGCGAGCTTCGTGTTGTAGTCTGTGATGTTGGACATGAGCCCAGAGATCTCGTTGCACGCGTCGGCCTGGGACGCAGCCGCCAGCGCGCTCGCGTTCACACGCAGCGGGACCGCCTGCTCGCGCAGCTGCTTAATGATGGGCATGAAGGCCTGTCGCAACTCCCTTGGCATGACGACGTTGAGGTCCCTGGCGAGCTTCTGCGCGTCCGCGTGCATGGACTTGACGCGGAAAGACGCCTCGTGAAAGTAGCGCGTCATTAAGAACGACAGCTCCACGTCGGACGCCCTACCGCTAGCAAGGGCGAACTTCGCCGTCTTGCGGCGGGTGATGTTCAGGAAGTCCTGGACGGTGTTGGCGATCTCTATCTTGGCCTTGTTGATGCGCTTCATGAAAAGCGGATTCTCTGTGGCTTTTGGGAGAGCCATCATCACCTCGACCATGATGCCCAGAGTGACCTCGCCCAGCATGCCCGACATCTCGGAGTTGGCCTTCGCGCCCATGAGCATCTGCGCCTTCTTGATCATCGCCTCCTTGGCGGCGCGATGGGCCTCAATCTTGGCCAGACGCTCGTCCTCCTTCGCCCTCTTCCTGTCCAGAATGACCTTACGGCGCTTCTCCGCCTCCTTGCGCAGATCCTTCATGGCGAGTGTGGCTTCCTTCTTCGCAAAGTCAAGCTCCTTTTGCTTCTCCTTGAAGCTCCGGAGCGTCCTCTTCAGGGCTTCCGTTTTCTTCTTGAAGTCCGCCTGCAGGAGTGGGATGATCTGGTCCAGGGAGGCAGTCAGATTATCCTTGGACCTTTGCGTGCGGTTGGCCTTTCGCCACTTCGGCCTGCCCTCCACCATCACCTCGATCATCTCCTCCAGCTCGTCCCCGACGTTCAGCTCTGACTCGTCCTCGAAGCCAGTTTCAATCTCATCCCCACGCTGAAGAAGGCTCAGCTCGGGGACATCCGCAGTCAGCGCCGCTCCAACCAAGGCGAGGCAAGCAAGGACGCCCGCCCGCATCATGTCTCCGGAAGCAGATGTAAGATGCAATTGTAGACAAGATCAGCGCCACATTATGTGTTAAAGCACAAACGGCCTGAGCCCATATGTTTACGGAGCGGGCAAGGGAGTGAGATATGACACTGAGGGACAAACAGGCAAAAGGAATCAATGGAGGCATTGCGTGGAAGAGGGATCGGCAAGCGGAGGCGGACGGGGACGAGGATGGGGGAAGACGCGCGCAGGGATGCATCGAAAGGCATGGAAATCCGACGTGCCTCTGTATTGTTATGCCAGGGCATGCCGTTCACCCGAAGGATCTCGTCACCGACCTCGGTCTGCGGCGCGGAGGCATCTACACGCAGGAGGAGGAAAGAAAATCATCAGAAGTGGGAAAAAAAGCATTAAGTAAGCAATGGAGAAGAGTAAACAGACGAGGAAGAGGAAGAGGAGGACGCCAACGACGACGACGACGACGACGACGACGACGACGACGACAACGACAACGACGGCAATGACGACGACGACGACGACGACGACGACGATGACGAAGACGACGGCCGACGACGACGGCGGGGACGTGAACAAGAACAAGGACGATAGAAAAATGAAGAAGGACGTAGAGGAGGAGAAAGAACAAGAGGAGCGGCAGCGACAGCGGCAGCAAGTTCCTCATGGCAGAACGAGCCAACCTGTCATGCAACCACGCCTTCTACCTACTACGCAAAACGAAGGCTCAAGAGGACCCACAAAACAGCCTAAAGACGCCAAAACCATTCATCCCAGCAGCCCTCTGGGTGTGAGTTGTTTAACGAGTGTTCCAAATCCCCTTTTGTCCCATCGGGCAAGGGTTTATCACTGCCCCATTTGAATCAACATCCCTTCCCCGCACGACCGACAGACAACATGGGCCAATGCGCACACCTACCCACCGTCCCAATCACAAAAAAATATCGCCGGAGTGCAGTATCCCCAAACAGGGTTTTTTTAAACCCACTGCGGTTTCCAAGGTCGATTGCGTGCCCGTCCAATGCGGGCTGGCATGGCATGTTGGAACATGGTAACATGATGATTGCACATGAGATGTTTACACGAAAACTTGTGTGACGCATGCCTATCAGGAAGATAACGCTAGAGGGTGTCGTACTCTCTCGCACCTGGTCCACGAGTAACCTGTCGGGTCGGCACTGTGACAGGCTCCACCACCATGCTATGAACTCGGAAGCAACTGTAAGAGGAAGCGGGGGAGGGCGCGGAAGCGGGGGGGCATGTCGTGATGGTTCCCCAGGGATGATATCGAGAGGTACGCGGCGCACGTCTCAAAAGAGAAATCGTGACGTCGGATGTCTGGGGAGGGCGAAGGCAAGGCGCGCATGACAGATGCTGAGGCGGCAGAAACGACGACGGCGGGGACGGGGAGGCGGAGGCAGACGCGCAGCAGCGGGAGGCGGGAGGCGGGAGGAGGGAGGAGGGAAGAGGAACCAGGCGGGAAGCGGGAAGAGGGAGGCGGGAGAAGGAATGAGAGGTTGTGATTGGAGCCCCTGTGCCACGAAACGTCTCAGGCAGAACGGACCAGACCATCTCGCGCGCAACATCTTCGAGCTTCGCATTGTGAGAATGGCTCAAGCGAAACGGGCCGGACAACCTCGCGAGCGACATCTTGGAGCTCAGTTGGAAGGATGTCTCAAACGAAACGGGCCGGACAACCTCTCGCACACGTTCTGACAAGTCCACGTCACCATCGCTTCCCCGTAGGTCCTCTCCTGCAACTCCCTTCCTTCTCCCTCCTCATCCTCCTCCTCCTCCCCCTCCTGCCTGCTCCCTCATCCACATCATCCTCCTTCTCCCTTCCATCTCCTTCTCCTTCTCCTTCTCCTTCTCCTCCTCCTCCTCCTCCTCCTCCTCCTCCTCCTCCTCCTCCTCCTCCTCCTCCTCCTCCTCCTCCCTCCTCCTCCTCCTCCTCCTCCTCCTCCTCCTCCTCCTCCTCCTCCTCTCTCCTCCTCCTCCTCCTTCCTCCTCCTCCTCCTCCTCCGCTTCATCCCGAACGGCATCTCGGAGCCCAGAGTCCCACCAGCCCTCTGGGCGTCGGTGGTTTAAGGAGTTTCCTCTTCCACCCCTCCTTCTTCCCCTTCGGGGAGGGGTTTACCCCTCCCCCTACCCCCTCCCCACTGACCTGGACAGGGGGTTCCGCGGCGCAGAGGCCCCAAGAGACCCCCCAGAGGCACCCAAGGTGCTCCCAGAGGCCCCAAGATGGCCCCAAGAGGCCCCAAGAGGCCCCCAGGAGGCCCCAAAGAGGATTCCGAACGGCCCACAGAGGCCCCCCCGAGGCGCCCAAGACGCCGAAAAGCCCCTCAGGACGACCCTCTACTCGCCTGGGCGTCGTTTCTGGACGGGCTGGTGGGGATACGCGAAGCGTCTAGAATTGCGAGGATGTCTCCAACGTAACGGGCTGGACCACCTCGCGCGCGGCATCTCGGACCCCAGAGTTGCGACGATGTCTCGGGCGAAACGTGCTGCGAGGAAGTCTCAGGCGAAACGGGCCGGACCACCTCGAGCGCGGCGTCTCAGAGCTCCGAGTTGCGGAGGCCTCCTGGGGCCTCCTGGGGCCTACTGGGGACCTCCTGGGGCTTCCCCCTAGGCCTCCTGTGGCCTCCTGGACTCCACCTGGGGCTTCCTGAAGCCTCTTGGGGCTCCCAGGGGGGGATATCTAACATGTGGCCGTTTGGGCCCCTCTAAATGGGGGGGGGCACAAGAGCAGGAAAAATCGACGAATCGGCACCGGATGCGTATTAACTTGACACGTTCTGATAGGGGGCCTCCTGGGGCCTCCTGGGAGCCTCCTGGGAATCTCCTGGGGACCCCTGGGGCCTGTCCTGTGCGTCCTGCGGCCTCCTGGAGCTCTCTGGCGCCTCCTGGGGCTCCCAGGGTCCCAGGGTCGGAGTTGCGAGGATGTCTCTAGCGAAATGGGCTGGACCACCTCTTGCGCGGCAGCTCAGAGCTCAGAGTTTCGAGGATGTCTCAGGCGAAATGGGCCAGACCACCTCGCGCGCGGCATCTCAGAACTCAGAATTTGGAGAACGTTTCAAACGAAACGGGCCGGACCACCTCTCGCGTGGCATCTCGGAATGCAAAAGTGCGAGGATGTCTCAAGTGAAACGGGCCGGACCACCTCTTGGGCGGCAGCTCGGGGCTCAGAGTTTGGAGGATGTCTCAAGCGAAATGGGCTGGACCACCTCGCGCGCGGCATCTCAGAACTCAGAAATGCGAGAGTGTCTCAGGCGAAACGCGCCAGACCACCTCGCGCACGGCATATCAGGGCTCAAAGTTTGGAGGTTGTCTCAGGCGAAACGGGCCGGACCACCTCTTGCGCGGCATCTCGGAGCCCAGAGTTTCGAGGATGTCTCAAGCGAAATGGGCTGGACCACCTCGCGCGCGGCATCTCAGAACTCAGAAATGCGAGAGTGTCTCAAGCGAAACGCGCCAGACCACCTCGCGCACGGCATCTCAGAGCTCAGAATTTGGAGGATGTCTCAGGCGATACGGACCGGACCACCTCTCGCGCGGCATCTGGGAGCTCAGAGTTTGGAGGATGTCTCAGGCGAAACGGGCCGGACCACCTCTCGCGCGGCATCTGGAAGCTCAGAGTTTCGAGGATGTCTCAGGCGAAAGGGGCCAGACCACCTCTTGCGCGGCATCTGGGAACTCAGAGTTTGGAGGGTGCCTCACGCGAAACGCCCAATCCCGGACAACTCAGAAACGAGAGTTGCGAGGATGTCTCAAGCGAAACAGCCCGGACCACCAAATTTGTTTGAGGACGTCTCTGCTTTGATTTCCCTCGGCCGGAGTTAGCTTCTATCACAACAGCACCCCGTTCAGAAAGCTGTTTGGGGAACAAAACACAATGTGCCTCCAAATCTGGAGCATGCGCGGGCGCCCCGCAACCAGATTGCTTTGGCTTTTGACAGGGGCGGCGGGGGTGCTAGTATATGACCTGCTTCGTGTCATGCCAACATCCCCCAACATCCCTGCCAAGAAAAAAATCAAAATACAATTTGCGGCAACATCTAGGGCCATGTCTGGGGGGAGCATGCACTTTGTATCGTTTGTTGACAGTGACGGCGGGGGTGCCAGCATATGGCCTGCCGCGCGTAGGGCCACCATCACTGTCAAAAACAATACAATCTGCACGTCGCGGATGGATCTGAATCATGCGCGGCCCCCCCGCGAACACTTTGCATTGGCTTTTGACAGGGACGGCGGGGGTGCTGGCACATTGCCTGTTGTGCGCAGGCCCCCTCGACACCATGATGACCACTCCTTAGCGATTGCTCATTGGTTTCCAGCACGAATGGTGGAGGCCGACATGTTTCCTGATGTGCGCAGGCGCGCCTGACACACTTTGCGCGTGCCCCGAACGTGGCGCATCTGAGCCGGCTGGAGCATGCGGCACACTTGGCGCACGCAGAGCACCTGGCACATCTGGCGTACCAAGCGTGTCTGGTACTCTTGGGCCTCAAGGGCGCCTGGCGCGCGTAGTGCACGTGGCGCGCCTGGTGCGCGTAGCGCACCTCGCCCCAGCGCCGCGCACCTGAGGTTTGTTTTGGTTCCCAATAGCTGCCCATCCAAGGGGAACCGCTGGATATGCTGAGACCCGGGTACTATGTATGTACTGGGCGGGTGGGAGTGAGCCGAACTTTTTGCGTTTGGAAGAACTGCCCCTCCCCCAGGCGACTGGGAGCCAACCCAGGTCCATGCGGGCCCCCCACCAACCCTTGCACCAAAACCATACAAAATACACTCTGCCCCCACCATCCCTTATTATAAAAAAAATAATTATTATAATATCTATATATATATATACACAAGAAAAACAAAAAAAAAAAAGTCTCGAAATTCCGAGCATGCGCAGCGAACCCGATGCGGCCTCCCCCCACCATCCCTGTCAAAAAACAATACAGAGTACACTTGGCGGCGGCGGCTGCGGCGGGGGCAGCGGCTGCGGCGGCTGCGGCGGTGGCGGCGGCGGGGGCGGCGGCGGCGGCGGCGGCGGCGGGGGCGGCGGCGGCGGCGGCGGTGGCGGCAGCGGCGGCAGCGGTGGCGGCAGCGGCTGCGGCGGCAGCGGCTGCGGCTGCGGCGGCGGCGATTTGGCAGTGGGGGCGGCGGGGCGGGGCGGCGGCGGCGGGCGGCGCGGTGGCGGCGGCGGCGGCAGCGGTGGCGGCAGCGGCTGCGGCGGCAGCGGCTGCGGCGGCGGCGATTTGGCAGTGGGGGCGGGCGGCGGCGGCGGCGGGCGGCGCGGTGCGGGCGGCGGGCGGCGGACAGCGGCGGCGGCGGCGGCGGCGGCGGCGCGGCGGCGGCGGCGGCGGCGAGCGGCGGCGGCGGCGGAGGCGGCGGCGGCGGCGGCGGATTGGCCCCCCATTAGCTGGCCATCCAAAGACGACTGCTGCATATGCTGCGGCTCGGGCCAGGCTCAGGTGCTACGTATGTGTTGGGAGGGCGGGTGGGAGTGAGCAAGACGGCTTGCGGGCGGGGAGGGAGACTCTTGACCCTTCTCCCTACCCCCTCCCCTGGACCTGGACGGGAGGGGCCACCATCAATTGGAGCGTCCCAGAAGGCCTCGGCGAGAATGCAAAAATTGTGGCCTCCTGGGGGGGGTCAATTGAGGCCCCCCCTTCTTTCATCGAACTCCTCCAGGATGGATGGCCCCAAGATGGTCCCCAAGGTTCCCAACAGTGCCCCAAGAGGGCCCCAAGAGGCGCCTAGGAGGCCCCAAGAAACCCCCAAGAGGTCCCGAAGAGGCCACCAAGAAACCCCAAAGAGGCCCAAAGAGGCTCCCCCGAGGCACCTAAGACGCTGGAAAAGGCCCCTGGGACAGCCAAGAGAACCACAAGACGCCCCAAGAGGACTCCGAGAACCTCTCCACAGACATCCGAAGAGAGTCCGCGAGGCATCCAAGAGTCCTCTGGCCTTTCTGCTCGCTCTCGTCCTCGTCCTCGTCCTCGTCCTCCTCCTCCTCCTCCTCCTCCTCCTCCTCCTCCTCCTCCTGCTCCTCCTGCTCCTCCTGTTTTTCCTCCTCCTCTTCCTTTTCCTCATCGTCAGCATCGTCAGCATCATCAGCATCAACATCATCATCATCATCATCATCATCATCATCATCATCATCATCATCATCATCATCATCAGCAGCAGCAGCAGCAGCAGCATCATCATCATCATCATCATCATCATCATCATCATCATCATCATCATCATCATCATCATCATCATCAGCAGCAGCATCATCATCATCAGCAGCAGCAGCAGCAGCAGCAGCAGCAGCCTCCTCCTCCTCCTCCTCCTCCTCATCATCATCATCATCATCATCATCATCATCATCATCAGCAGCAGCAGCAGCATCATCATCATCATCATCATCAGCATCATCATCATCAGCAGCAGCATCAGCATCATCATGATCATCAGCAGCAGCATAATCATCAGCAGCAGCAGCATCATCATCATCAGCATCATCATCGTCATCATCATCAACATCATCATCATCACCATCATCATCATCGTCATCGTTATCGTAATCGTCATCACCATCACCATCATCATCATCATCATCATCATCACCATCATCATCGTCGTCCCATCGTCATCGTCATCATCACCAGCATCATCACAATCGTCATCATCAGAATCATCATCATCAGCATAATCAGTATCATAATCATCATCATCGTCCCCATCGCCGTCGTCATCAACACCAGCATCAGCACCATCGTCACCATCAGAATCATCATCAGCAGACTTATCATCATCATCACCATCGTCATCATCATCATCATCATCATCATCATCATCATCATCATCATCATCATGAGCATCATCATCATCATCATAATCTGCATCTTCACAGTCATCTTCATCATCATCCCCCACTCCGCGCTGGCGAGCAGTCGTCTCGAAGCGAACGCGCTGCGCAAGCGCGACGGACCGAAAGCATGCCGGGCCGCCGCGGCGCGCGCCGCGCGGCGCTCTCAGGTGGCCACGTCTGACGGTGGCACCCGGACGGCCGACTTGGCCGAGAAGCTGCGTACGCCTGGGACTACGCAGGAAGCAAGCAGAACAGGGTAATCATTCTCCCGCACTCCGCGCTGGCGAGCAGTCGTCTCGAAGCGAGCGCGCGGCGCGCGTGGCGGACCGAAAGCATGCCGGGCCGCACCGCTAGCAGTAGCAAAGCATGTAAGCCGAGCGTGAGCGGGTTCGGGAAGGGCGGCCGCAGCTGCTTGCAGAAAACGCTAAGCACTGGATGCCTGACGCCAGCGACTGCACCAGAAGACGCGCGGGAGCCCTTCGGTCGCAGTGTGGAAGTCAGTCTCGTCAGAGCTGCGAGGGCAAACGAGGCTCAAATGAAACCCCGCGGGGGCTCGGGCGAGCGGCGCGCCCAGCTCCCTCAATAGATGGTCCCACCGCGAAGGTCGCTAGCGGATCGGCGGGCCCCAACTGGCGGAACACCAGCTCCACGATCTTCACCGTGGCCCGATCCGAACAGCGGGCACGCTGCTGCGAGGGGTAAGGCCAACGGGTCCGTGGAGCTGGGATGGACAGGAAGGCGTCGCCATGAGACTCAAGGCGGTCGCGCGGCAGAGAAAGGTCGCAGCGGCAAGGGTGGAGGAACTCGCGAGGCCTTAACGACATAGTGCACTCTGCCAGAAGCGACGCCGCCATATCAGGCCAGTCCCACATGAGACAAAGCCCCACCATTGCGCGCAGCAGCGCACGGGGGAGTGGAAGGCGGAGCTCAGGACGCTCGGACAAAATGCTTTGGCGAAGTTCCAATGCTCATCTCCACTGTCCGGCAAGGTCCTTAGTCTCAGTCAGAAGCGCCCCCCATGGAGGTGATTGCACGCCCACAACGCGCGAACAAAAACGTGATGTGGAAAACCGGAATCATGAAGCCACAGTCCGAAGATGGCAAGGAACCGAACGGGCAGGTTGCCGCTGCGGCGAAGGGTGGCAAGGGTCGTTTCCGATTAGCCCGCCACCCAGAGCTCGAAAGCATCGAGCGATTGAGCGCGTCGCTCAGCCCAGGCGGGAGAGACGCGGGACTCATCGAGGGCGCCCCGGCTGGGTTCGCGGCAGGCGGCGCTCCCGGCCGCGACCGCGGGAAAAGGCACCGCGGAGGTGCGCGCATCCGCTGCTGCCCTGTCAACAGTGAGCGCAAGGGCCACACGGCCTCTGCGCTTGCGCGGGGCAGCAGCGGCGGCGGCACGGCCTCCCCCGTACGGCGCCAACCCCAGGCTCGCAGCCGCCGGGCGGCGCCTGGGGCGCGCGCGGAGGCGCGGGCGCGATCCCGCGCCTCGGCGAGGGGGGGCAGGGCAGACCACAGCCTCTGGCGCTGCGCCCGAGGGAACACCAGCACCCCCGCCGCCGGCGCGCTGTTCCCCCCTGCGGGGCCGCAACAGCATCTCTGCACCGGGACATGTCCGTCGACGGGGGAGGCACCACCTCCGACATATAGGAGTCGGCAAAACACCCAAAGCGCTCAGAGGGAGCGCGGGCCCCCGGGACCGGCAGCGCGGGTCGAGCGGCCGAGAGGCGGCAGCCGCCCGCCCCGCCCCCACCCCACTCCCAGGCCCTGCGGCCCGCGGCGGGAGCGAGGGGACCGGCTCGCGCCAGGGACCTTGACGCGGGCCGCTTACGGACCAGAGGTCCGCACGCAGCTAGGCCCATCTCCCTGGCGGTTGTGACCCCTGGCGTCCGCGCGGCCCCATCGGCCCACCAGCAGCGGCGCGCTGAACTGGCGGGGCAGAGTGGGGGCGGCCACAACGCGCTGGAGGCGCCGCGGCAACGTTCGCGCGAACAGCGGCAACCTCGCCCAAGCGCGCGCACCTGCCTCGGCCGCTGAGCCCCGGCGCGCAGCTGGGCCCCGGCGGCGGCGGGGCAGGGCCGGGCGCGAGCCGCGGGCGCATGGGCCACGTTCAGGCCCACTGCCGCCCACGCAAGGGCCCGGGGTTTGGATGTCCCCTGGACCCGGGGAGCCTCGCACCCCAAGAGGGGGGGAGGCCCTGGAGGCGCGCCCGGGGCTGAGCCCGGGGGAGGGCGCGCCGCCGGGGCCGAGCGGGCGGCCTGCCCTGCACGGAGGGCAGCCCACAAGCGCCAAACGTCTCGCGCTCGCGGGGGCCCTCGGCTCCGACGTCCGCTAGCGCGCGGCCCGCGGCTGACGCGGGGGCGCGCGGGCCGGCGCGCGCCGCGCGGCGGCGCAGACCCGCGCGGCGCGCGACCGCGGCGTCGTGGACCAGTGGACCACCGCCCGCAGGAGCTCGCGGCGGCCACGCCGCGACACGCCCGAACTGGACGGGCGCGGCGTGCTTCAGCCCGCGGGCATCGCGCCCCGCGGCCCCCGCCAGCCGCCCATGGAACTTGCGGTCGGCAACGCTGCGGGCAAGGGCAGCGCGCGAGACCGCGCGGCCTCTCTCCCTTCGCAGCGGGGCGGGGACCAGGCTGCCGACGACAGCGGCCCGCGCGGTGCGGATCGCGCCCAGCTCGACGCGCCCGCGCGCGTAGCCTGCGCGAGCTCCGCACGCGGAGCTCGACAAGCCCAGACCGCGGGCGGCGGCCCGAGCATCAGGCGGGGCCCGGCGCAAGCCCAGCTCAGCCCTGGCCACGAGAACTCGAGCGGGCACTGCCTCGTCGAGCGCTGCAAGCACAGAAGCGCGTCCAGAGGGGGTCCTCTGACGGGCCCCTTTTCCCTGGGCCTTGGCCTAGGCCAGGGCGCGCAAGGCGGGGGGCCCGGCGCTGGGGGCGACGCCCGCGGGCTCCGACGCTGCTGCACAGGCCTGCGCGAGCTCGGCCACCGTCGCACAGCGCGCGCCAGCAGGCCGCCAACGCCTCTAGAGACTCGGCAACACCACCGCCGACGGGAGTCCTGCGAGGACGGCAGGTCACCGAAGCCCGACGGAAGGCCGCGGCCTCGCCGCGCAGCGGAGGACGAAGCAGGCGCGATCCAGCCATGGCGCGAGCGGCGCGAATCGCGCCCACGCGGGCGCGCGACCGCCCCCCACTGCTGTCGTAGCTTCGAGCGGCGAGCCAGCGAACGTGCGTTCGTTGCAGGGCGGGGCCGCCGCGGACACGGCCACGCCTGCGGGGGCGGCGCTGCTCGCGCCAGCCTCGCATCCGGGCATCGCCGGGCGCAGCGCGCGGCGCTGGCCCGCTCGCAGACGCCGGGGCGCCAGCCGCGGCGCCCCAGGTCTGCGCTGCTTCCAGCGCAAGCGACTCGGCGTCGCAGTAGCGCCCCCACTAGGCGGGGTCGCCCGTGGGACGGTTTGAGCGGCAGCCCGACGCGAGCCTGCGAAACTGCCTTTCCATGGCTGGGCGCGGCGAGCCCCGCGCGACCTGCAGCCGCGCCATCGCGGCCTGCACCTTCGCCCCCCGAGCGCGGCGTCGAAGCGCCGCGACCGCAACGCCGCCCAGCGGATCGCGGACCTCCGCCGCGCTCGAGGGCCCTGCAACATGCCCTGGAGCTCTCACGCGCGGCGCGGCGCCGTCAAGCGCCTCGCGGCCTGCGGCGGCGGGCGAAAGCTCCTCGGGCGAGCTCGCTCCGCCTCCGCCGCCGCCGCCCCCCGCCGCGGCCTTGCGACCGAAGATCGCGCCGAGAGGTCCGCGGGGCGCCAGCCCCCGCGAGGCGGGCTCCAGCGAGCTGCCAGCGCCGGGGGGCGCGAGAGGCGGCGGTCGCTCGGCCTCGGCGGGGGCCGCCGCGCCGCCCAGGCCGCCCGGGGCGGGCGCTCCCTGAGGGCGGGCCGCAGAGTGCCCGAGCGGGCCCGCGCCCGCGGCGGGGCCGCGGGCCATCGCCAGCGTCGCAGACCTGCCACAGAGGCAGGTCGGGCACGCGGAAGCAGCATCGGCAGCCTCTATCACGTCGAATCGCTCGAACCGGCCCTCGCCAATATCCAGCAGCCAAGCTGGCTCGACACGCGACGGCGGGCGGACGGGGCGCCCGCGCGCGGAGTCGCCCGCTCAATGGACATCGGCCAGGGCGCACAGCCCGCCCAGGCAGAGCGCGCCGCCCAGAGCGCCGGGCAAGCAGGTGCTCGAATCACGCGCACGGCCGGGGCTGCTGCTCCGACCGCTGGCAGCCGCGCCCAGTGCCACTTGGGAAATCAATAGAAAGGGATCAGAAAGTCGGGGTTGCGCACGCAACAGCATTTGCAGAGACTCTCGAACACGGTGGCCTCAAGGATACTGACGCGGCGAGGCGCGCGGAATTCCCACTCATAAGCAAGCCGGAATCGCAGCGCCTTCACATCGCGGCGCAGCTGAGTTAGCCCGGGCCCGTCGGGCACCCGCGACTCGGAACCATGAGCAGGCAGCGGTCGCGGAGACAAGCGTGCCAGCCGCCATGTTCGGAACGCCGCCACAGTTCATGCGACAGGCGCGAGCTGACGCCACTGCGGACTGCCCCGCCAGCGCCGAGGGAGGCGTCCGCGCCGAAGACCTCAGAGCGAAGAGTTGCCCGAAGGTCGGTCATCGCAACGAAGGCCAGGCAGGCGCAAGCCTGCAGTTCGTCGCGGACCGCAGCCGGCAGTTCGCATTCGAGCCCGTCGCCGGGAAGGGTCGAGATGATGGCGTCGACGTGGGTGGAGATCGACAAGAAGGGACCTCGATACAAAAACACCTGCACCCAACAACCCACGAGCGAGTTCAACAACGCCCGGGTTGAACGACCGAGGAACACTTGAATCAACGCCAGGCGGCCGAGGGCCGCCTCGCGGACCAAGGGAGCTCCCACAATGCTGATCCAGCCCTCCACCTCGGCTCCGAGCACGACTTCGCGGGTTTCGCCCCTGGCTTTCCTGCCGGGAACCGAGTGAGGCCCGCCTGGGGGGTGCCGCGGTCGCGCGCAGCAAAAACCTCGCCGTCGCGGCGCGCCGCGTCGTCGGAGCGCCGGGCGCCCCCCGCGCCACGAGAGCTTCTGAATGCCCACGCGGTCGTCGACGTTCAGCATCCCGACGCAAGGCCCCCGGGGGAACGGCGCGCGACGCACGGCCTGCCCAGGAGGGCGGAGCGCGCCGAGGCTACGCGACGCGCCCTCGTTGGCCGAGAGGGCGATCTCCACCGCGACGCCGTCGCCCACGGCACGCGCATCAGGGCAGGGAGCAGGGCCCAGAGCCCCAAAGGTCGCCCCGCCATGCGTTGAAGCCTTTGAACCGCGAGCTGGGAAGCTCGACGCGGAGGGCGCCACGCCGCGCGCCAGAGGGTGGAAACTGGAACGCGCAGCAACGCTCGCGCAGGTCTGCGCGCGAAATCACGGGCCATCATTCCCCAGGCGCGAGCCCCAGGCGGCACGGGAAGAAACCCTGGCCGAGGCGCCGGGTGCTGGCAGAGACGCCGCTGCAAAGACTGCTTGCTACCGTGGGGTTCAGAATGAGTCAGCCGGTCATGAGACTCATCTTTCGAGAGCCTGAAAGCTCCACGAGCCTCGTCCCAGGCGAGGTCGTCGGAGGGAGCCAGATACAGGGCGGCACAGGAGTCCCACTTACGCAGGAGCCCCCACAGCTGCTCGCGGTCCACGTGCACGCGAGCACCCAAAAAGACCGAAGGCCACTCATCCTCTGGTAGTCGCATGACTTCGGGGTCATGGAAAGCGGTCCGTACCAGATCGTCGGACAAGTACGGAGTGGGATCAAACGTGAGAGAATAATCCGATGTGATGCGGGACGCCCGGGCCCGAAGGTCGAAAGGCTCAGCCCGGGTAGAGTCCAAGCCTGCGGCGGCCGCCAACGAGCTTGCTAACGGCGTAGCGCTGACGGGAAGTTGACGCATGGGGGCGGGCACCTGGGAGGAGGAAGCGAACGAAGCCTCAAGAGCTGCGACATAGGGGTAGCCAGGCCACGGAGCGAGAATTCGGCAGAGTCGAATTTGGCGAAAGCCCGACCTAGGTCGCTCTTGCCACCGCGGGCAAGGCGAAATGCAATTCGACACAGACGCTGAAGGCGACTGCGGATGCCCTTGCGGCAGGGTGCGACCGCTGCCCGCACCCTGGCTTCGGCGGGAGCGAAGCTGGGATGGCCCATGGTGATCCACTGGAGCGTAACGACAGCATGCTGCGACAACGCGCGGGCGGCGCACCCCACACGCCAGCGTTCCCGCGCGCGGCCCGTCAGGCGCCCGGGCGGCGGCGGCAAAAGCGGCGAGGGAGGGCACGGCCAAGGATCGCGGGGAGCTGACCCCAACAGGTACAAGTCGTCCCAATCCGGCGCGGAAAGGCATGCGCGGGCAAAAGCAGCGAGGGGGCATCGAGTCCCCATCCCGACCTTGGTAAGAGCAGCAGCCCAGTGGGCGACGTCGACGACGGCGCCTGGGAACAAGCGCAGCAAGGCGGACAGATCGGCCACGAAGGGTGCAGACCTGCCTGCGCCAGCACTGGCACGCGACGTGCCGGGAAAAGGGCAAGAAGCGTCCGGCGGCGGGCGCGCCTCGAAGCCCGCGCTGAAGCCAAATTGGAACGAAGCAATGGAAGAGGCCCCTGTGGGCGGGCGGGAGTCACCATGGCGGCGCGCGCGCAGCCCTGCAGCGCCGACAGATGCGCGCTGCAGATGCGCATGCCTACCATCGCGACACCGCTCGGTCCAGAAGCTGCGGGCGGCGGCCGCAGCACGCGCAGATCCCTGCGGGGCCGCAACAGCATCCTTGGACCGCACCATGCCAACTGCAGGGGGTGACCGGAGAGCCTCGCCCGCAAGCGACGCAGCCACTGAATCGCTGGAGCGCACCGAGCCAAGCGACGGGGCAACCACAGCATCGGACGAAGCCGAGGGGACTGGCGGAGGCTCGCGTCGGGATCGCGCTCCAGTTGGAGCGCAAGCGGCGGCTCTCCTCGGCGAAGGCCCCAGGAGCGGCCGCTGAAGCCACGCAAGAGAAGGCCTCCGTGGGCAAGGCGGGTGCACCAGCATAGGCTGGAGCACCAGCAGCGGCACGGCGGCAACCGAAGACAGTCCGACGACCCCGCCGTCCTCCACGCCGAGGGCGGACTCGACGAACACGTCGACGTTTAGGGGCGGAGAGTGCGGCACGGGTGCTGGCTAGGGCCGAGCAGGGGACTTCGTTCCCCAGACAGCCATCAGCGCCAACGCTGGATTGGCGACCAGGGGCCTGGGAGGGAGCCGGCGGAGCCCGCTCGGTGGGGAGAGCGGGAGCACGCCCCCGCCCACTGCCCGACCGGGCGGCCGCGCGAGTAGCGCCCGCCAGCGCCGACGCTGAGCGTGGCGAGGGCGCGGGGTGCTCCACGCGAAACGAGCGACCCCCGTCCTTCGCGAGGGCTGGGGGGAGCGGCGTCGCTCGTAGGTAAACCACCGAGGGCGGCCCCTGGCTGAACCTCTGGCGCGGTTGCACGCAGGAAACACGGAGCCCAGGGCGCGAGCCCACGCGAGCGCGCCGAGAAAGGCGCCCGACTGCAGGTTTCCGTACCGGCGAAGCCTAGAGGAGAGCCCACCACTCGGGCTGCAGCCGCGCCCCGGGAGCAGGTGCCCCAAGGCGGTGGGAACGCAGCTTCGGCCGCGGCCGAATGGACTGACGCGGCAGGCGCATCCGCCACGTCATGGACGGCAGCGGGCGCCATCGCACAGGGGGCGCAGCAGCGGCAGCGCTCCCCGAACCGCCGCGGACTGAGGTCGGGAGGGGCGATCGGCAGCCCGGCCCCCAGTGAGCTCCGATTGGCATCGGATGCGTGGACGGCGGTGGAACAAAAAAAACAACAAAAAAAAAAAAAAAAAAAAACGTCCGCGAGGCGCGGGACTGCAATGACGGCTCCAACCCTGGAGGGGGCTGGAAGCTGGCGCGTAAAGGCGAGGCAGCCTTGGGACTGTCCCGCGGCGGGGTGCCCAGAGCTGCCGCGGAGCCTGCAGCCACGCCGCGCGGGCCGCGACGACGGCCACGCCGCGACCGCTGGCGAGGAGGCTCAGGGTCGACCGACCCTGCCGCAACACGCGCAAATCCCTGCGGGGCCACAGCAGCATCGTTGGACCGCACCATGCCAACGGCAGGGGGTGACCGGAGAGCCTCGCCCGCAAGCGACGCAGCCACTGCATCGCTGGAGTGCACCGTGCCAAGCGACTGGGCCACGACAGCATTGGACGAAACCGAAGGGTCTGCGATACCCGCGCGAGAGCTGCGTCGCACGATGACGCAAGTGAGCCAAGGCGAAGCAGCGACGGGTGAGGAAGGAGTGGAGAGGAGGTGGAAGTTAGAAGGGTCCACCCACTCCGACTCCTCCGCCCCAAGCGCAGCTGTCTTCGCACTGTGGGCTCCGCTGCCTGCCGTCAGTTGGCCGCCTGCGGATTGGGTCGCGGGGGGAATTGAATGGCGACGCAGCGGAAGTGGGCGCTTCGCCCTTCGCAGCAGCTCGTCCGCGCTGCGGGGGAGCTCAGGCGGCGGATGCGGCGCGAGGGGCGTCTCTGTCGTGGCGGCTGGGACTCTCGGGAGGCAAGCGCAGCAAACTGTGCACGGCAGCACCTCGAACGTCCAAAGCGAGGGCTCGCACTGAGCCACAACGCAAGGCGCGGTGCATCGGCGCATGAGCTCCTCCTCCCACTCCATTGCTCTGATGAGCCCCCTGCTCCTCCGCCCAAGTGGCCAGGACAAAGAAGGCGGAAGAGGCGTGAGAGGAGTTCGGAGCCGTCGATGGCAAGGTGGGCGCCAAGGGCCACCTACCCGAAGGGCTGGGGCGACCCCAAGGTCGATTGACCCCAAGGTCGATTGATTCACTGCCTTGGGGCGGCAAGGGCCGGAGAGCCCACAGCTCCTCGAGCTACGCCACGCGGGCTGGAGATACCTGCACGCGACAGGAAGCGGCGCGGGCCCCTTCCTGCCCCGCCCGCCGAAACGCGAACAGACGACGGGGCGAGCAGGGCTCAAGGCCACGACAGGCAGGGGGCCGCGAGGCCCCCCTGCCCGGACGGCGACCGCCGCCTCATGCGGACGGTCGGCCCCAACGCTGGTTCAAGACGGACGCGGCACAAGGACAGCCCCGACCGACCCTGAAACCGCGAAGGGTAAACAACCCGAGAACAGGAGAGCGGCCTGCGCGGAGATGGCACCGGCCGCGCGCGCGGAGGGGGAGCGGGGTGCAAGCGGGGCAAGCGCAGGGCCGAGAAGCTGCGTACGCCTGCGACTGCGCAGGAGGCACGGAGAATAGCAGAAAGATCGTCATCATCGTCATCAGCATCGTCATCATCATCGTCATCATCATCATCATCATCATCATCATCATCATCATCATCATCATCATCATCATCATCATCATCATCATCATCATCCTCATCCTCATCCTCATCCTCATCCTCATCCTCATCCTCATCCTCAATCCTCATCCTCATCATCCTCATCATCATCATCATCGTCATCATCATCTCAGCATCATCTCATCATCATCATCATCATCATCATCATCATCATCATCATCATCATCATCATCATCATCATCATCATCATCATCATCATCATCATCATCATCATCATCATCATCATCATCATCTTCCGCATCATCACCACCATCATCATCAGCAGCAGCATCATCATAATGATCATTATCATCATCATCGTCATCATCAGCATCGTCATCATCATCAGCAGCAGCATCAGCATCAGCATCATCATCATCATCATCATCGTCATCATCATCCTCATCCTCATCATCAGCATCAGCATCATCATCAGCATCATCATCAGCATCACCATCACCACCACCATCATCATCATCATCATCATCATCATCATCATCAGCATCATCATCACCATCACCATCATCCTCACACTCGTCATCATCATCATCACCATCAGCAGCAGCATTATCCGCATCATCATCACATAATCCTGATCATCAGCAGCAGCATCATCATGATCCTCATCATTATCCTCATCATCATCAGCCGCAGCAGCGCCATCATCACGGCCAACAGCATCATCATCAACAGCATCAGCATCCTCGTCATCAGCGTCATTACCATCAGAACCATCATCAACATCATCATCATCATCACCACCAGCACCAGCATCATCATCATCATCATCATCATCATCATCATCATCAGCGTCATCATCATCATCATCATCATCATCATCATCATCACCGTCGTCATCCTCATCCTCATCCTCATCCTCATCATCATCATCATCAGAATCATCATCATCATAAACAACAGCATCATCCACATCAGCATCATAATCCTGATCATCAGCAGCAGCATCATCATAATCCTCATCGTCATGATCCTCATCATCATCATCATCCTCATCATCCTCATCATAATCATCGTCCCCGTGATCATCATCATCATCAGCATCATCATCATCATCATCATCAGCAGCATCATGAGCAGCATCATCATCATCAGCATCATTATCGTCATCATCGTCATCATCAGCAGCATCATCACTTTCATCACTATCATCACCAGCATCATCATCATCAGCATCGCCATCTTCACCATCATCATCAGCAGCATCATCATCTTCATCCTCATCATCAGCAGCAGCACAATCATCATTATCATCATCATCAGCAGCATCATCATCAGTATCAGAATCAGCATCATCAGCATCAGCATCACCACCATCATCATCAGAATCATAATAATCAACATCATCATCCTGATCATCATAGTCGTCATCATCATCATCATCATCATCATCATCATCAGCAGCAGCATCATCATCATCATCATCATCATCATCGTCAGCACCAGAAGCAGCAGCATAATCGGCCTATTACTCCTCCTCCTCCTCCTTCCTATTCCTCCTCCCCCATTCTCCTCCTCCTCCTCATCCTCCTCCTCCGATTCCTCCTCCATCCTCCCCCTCCTAGGGTATGACGGCTTCCGGAATGTTTTACTCCACAGCATGCTCCTCCGCATCCCTGATCAAGGCAACTCGCTTGGGCTGGTGGGATCACACGAAGCGTCAAGAATTCTCATTCACTAGATGTTTGAACTATTTTAATGATCTCGACGGTTCGGGGTTATGAGCGGCGAGATAGCCCGAGAGGCCCCCGAAGAAGCCCCGCAACAGACACGGAGGAAGAGGTTCACGAACCAGAAACGACGACACGCAGGCAGAACAAGGGGACGCGGCGAACAACACATGCGAAATCGAGGCCGCACAGTTCCTCTTCTGGGCGTCGGCGGAGTGGCGATGAGCGAGCGGCTGGTGGTCGAGACATGCCCCCCTGAGCCCGTCCCCCCCGAACATTGCCCCTGGCTGCTCGCGCGCAGAAGGTGACGTCGCCCGCGCGAGCGGGCGAACACCCGCGGCGGAGCAGCCGCGGCGTTCTCGACGAGATCCTGCAGGCGGCAGGGCCGACCAGACCAACGAAAGCCTCGAGGCACTCGTAGGCCGCACCGCGGCCCGGCCGCGGGCTCACGCGCGCCGCACGCGCCCTGGGGGGAGAAGATCACCCCCTCGTCCAGGCCAGAGCCCGCTCGAGCTCGGCCTCGGGACCACTCCCGACGCCGCCCTTGCTGGCTTCTCGAGCCCCATCCGGCCGTCGGGCCTGCGAAAGAGTCCCGACCAGTCGCCAGAAGCAGCCGCCGAAAGCAGCCGAGATCTGGTCAATGGGGGGGGGAGGGGGGAGGGGGGGGGGCCGGGGGCCGCGCCGATCGGCGAAACGATTCGGCGACAACGAAGGGCGTGGTTTGCAAAAGGTATGGTTTGCAACCGGCACTCTGGGGGGCACCCTGGGGGGCGGCCGGGGAACTCGATGGAGTTCTCCGCCGCGCCTCGAGAGGCCCGACGAGGACACCCGCGCCCCAGCGGCGCCCATCGTACTCCACACCCAGGCGTAAGCATACCCCTTGCAGTCGCCGAGTAACTCGGGTCTCGGCGGAACGCTCTCGGTGAAGCGCAGCCACTGGAAGGCACCCCAAGGCTGGGAAACCGCCGAGCACTGACACACAGGCTCGAAACTCGCACCTTGAACCCGAGATTGTCCCCCCTCTGCCGCTGCTCCAGTGACCTCTCCTGGGCGCGTTCTTACCAGGATTCAGGGGCGAATCCACCCGTGGTGGCGACGGAAGGGTAGCGGCATCAGTATATCTTCCTCCCCTGATCCTGTCGGCTGCGCGCAAGAGTGACCCTGGGCAAGAGTGACCTTTGGTGCGCGGTTTCAAGGAGGCGCGGGGGAAGGGGGGAGGTGGAGAGGGGGGGGGAGGGAGGGGAGGGCAAACCCCGAGCGCGCAAGCCACCGCTATCGAATCGCTCTCAGCGATCCAGGGGCCCCCGCGGGCCCGCACCAAAGGGCACTCCGGCAAAGGGTCACTCCTACGTGTAGTCGATCCTGCGCCGAGGAGCGGGCACCCACGCCCGCCCCGGGGTGGTCGAGGCTGGGAAACCGCCGAGCACCGACGCGGAAGCTCGAAAACCTCGCACCTCGAGCTCGAAACCCTCGAGAACTCGCTGCGGACGCCGCAAACATGACTCAAAAACGATGAACCGACCTCGATCCGACCGTAGCCTGTCCTCCGCCGAGGAGCGGGCACTGACGCCCTCCCCGGGGTGGTCAAGGTTGTACTGGGCAAGCAGCCCGGGCGCCGCGATCTTGGCCAGCATTGGGGGGCCGTCGTCCTCGAGGCGCCGGCGAGCTGGCGCCTCCGCCTCTCGGGACCCTCATCCTCCTCCTTCTCATCCTCCTCCTCCTGCTGCTGCTGCTCCTGCTCCTGCTCCTGCTCCTCCTCCTCCTCCTCCTCCTTCTCCTCCTCCCCCTCCTCCTCCTCCTCCTCCTCCGCCTCCTCCTCCTCCTCCTCCTCCCCTTCCTCCCCTCTCCTCCCCCTCCTCCTCCCCCTCCTCCTGCTCCTCCTCCTCCCTCCTCCTCCTCTTCCTCCTCCTCCTCCGCCTCCTCCTCCTCCTCCTCCTCCTCCTCTTCCTCCCCCTCCTCCTCCCCCTCCTCCTCCCACTCCTCCTGCTCCTCTCCTCCTCCTCCGCCTCCTCCCCTCCTCCTCCTCCTCCGCCTCCTGCTCTCGTCCTGTTCCTCCTCCTCCTCCTCCTCCTCCTCCTCCTCCTCCTCCTCCTCCTCCTCCCTCCTCCTCCCTCCCTCCCTCCCTCCCTCCCTCCCTCCTCCCTTCCTCCCTCCTCCCTCCTCCCTCATCCCTCATCCCTCCTCCCTCCTACATCCTCCCTCCTCCCTCCTCCTTCCTACATCCTCCCTCGTCCTTCCTCCCTCCCCCTCCCCCCTCCTCCCTCCTCATCCCTTCCATCCTCCCTCCTCCTTCTCCTCCTCCTCCTCGTCCTCCTCCTCCTCTTCCGTTTTCTTTTATGTATCCGATTCGTATGCTTAGCTCGCTTATTAGTGTTAGTATTGGTAGTAGTATTACTAGTAGTAATGTTGGTGTTATTAGCAGTACAACCATCCATATTATGATCAGCACTCGTATTCCTAGTATTATGAATATTCGAACTATTAACCATGATACTACGACTAACAATGCTAGTGTTAGTAGCATTAGTAGCATCAGGGTTACCACTGTTAGTAATACTGCTACTCTTACTACTACGACTACGACTACGACTACGACTACGACTACTACTACTACTACTACGACTACTACTACTACTACTACTACTACTACTGCTGCTACTGCTACTGCTACTACTGCACTACTACTAACTACTACTACTACTACTACTTACTACTACTACTAACTACTACTACGACTACGACTACTACGACTACTACTACTACTACTACTACTACTACTACTACTACTACTACTACTACTACTACTACTACTACTACTACTACTACTACTACTACTACTACTCTACTACTACGACTACTACTACTACTACACTACTAACTACTACTACTACTTCTACTACTACCACTACTACTACTACTACTACTACTACTACTACTACTACTACTACTACTAACTACTACTACTACTACTACTACTACTACTACTACTACTACGACTACTCTACTACTACAACAACAGCTACTACTACACTACTACTACTACTACACTACTACTACTACTACTAACTACTACTACTACTACTACTACTACTACTACTAACTACTACTACTACTAGTGCTACTACTACTACTACTACTACTACTACTACTACGACTACTACTACTACTACTACTACTACGACTACTACTACTACTACTACTACTACTACTACTACTGCTACTACTACTACTACTACTACTACTACTACTCCTACTACCACTACTACTACTACTACTCCACTACTACTACTACGACGACTACTACTGCGATTACTGCTACCACTACGACTACGACTACTACTACTACTACTACTACTACTACTACTACTACTACTACTACGACTAGTACTACTACGTCGACCGGATGCTGATATGTATGCTTCGTTGTAGTATTTGCAATTATATTACCATTCGAATCGACAGCCTTAATAGTATGACTGTTATCATGGGTATTAGTATCACGAGTATGATTAGTAGTAGTAGCAGTAGTATGAGTACTAGCAGTATCCCTGTTATTGTTAGTCATGCTACTATTCTTGTAATTAGCATTAGTGTATTACTAGGATTAGTAGTCTCACTGTTACAGTATGAATAGTATTTAAAAAGTGTAAAACTACCATGGTTCTTATAATCACTGTTACCACCATTATGATCCGTTCTACTATGAGTACCAGTACTATCATTACTATGATTATTAGTAGTAGATTAGTACCAGTAGTGTTATTCATACTACTCGTATTATTAATACACGTATTTATATGATGAATATTACTCGCATTCGGACTACTAGTTTCCCTACTAGTAGTAGCATTAGTTGTGCGATTACTAATATTAGTAGTGGGACTATAGTACTAGTAGCATTACTACTACCACCTTATGTGTAATATGGTTATGTATGTTGTTAGTAATCGTATTCTTATTGCTACTAATCATACGTGTTTCTGAATATTCGGCTGAGTTTTCGTATGATTCGTCGTAAGAATATGATTCGTAATATCCGTCTTGTGCGCATGCGTCTTCTTATTATGCTGATTCGTTGTATTACTGGTATTCCTCTTCCTCCTCCTCCTCCTCCTCCTACTCCGCCTGCTCATCCACGTCCTCCTCTTCCTCATCCACCTCCTCCTCTTCCTCGTCCTACTGGTCCTCCTCCTCCTCCTGCTCCTCCTCCTCCTGCGCCTCCTGCTCCTCCTCCTCCTCCTCCTCTTCCTCCTCCTCCTGTTCCTCCTGTTCCTCCTCCTCCTCCTCCTCCTCCTCCTCCTCCTTTCCTCCTGATCTCTGTTCCTCCTGCTCCTCCTGCTCCTCCTCCTCCTCCTCCTCGTCCCTCCTCCTCCTCTCCTCCTCCTCCTCCTCCTCCTCCTCCTCTTCCTCCTCCTCCTCCTCCTCCTCCTTTTCCTCCCCCTCCTCCTCCCCTTCCTCGTCCTCCTGGTCCTCCTCCTCCTCATCCTCCTCCTCCTCCTCCGCCTCCTGCTCCTCTGTTCATGCTCCTCAAGGAACGACTCGCAACAGCTCTCGTCCACTGGGCCGAGCCGCGCCACGCCCACCACGCGCCCCCCCCCCCGCACACTGCTGCAAGGCCCCGCCGCAAATGGGCGAGAGCCCCGCCGAGGGAGGAGGGCGGAGAGATGGAGGCCCCGCCTGGACGATCCGTTTCCCCTTAGATCGTGTGCACACCCACGACGGCGAGGAACCCGTCCACGGCATATATCTGAACGGCACCAGCCCCAAAACAGACCAGCAATAAGATAAACTCCAGAGATTCACAGTCACCGGCTCCCAGTATCTCAGTCACTGAAACCAGCAGCATCCTCCAGCTTCTGCCATCAGACAGGTTCCAGGAAACGTAACCGCCTTCGCGCCGCATACAAAGTAATCGTATGCAGGCGAAAGCTCACATCATTCAAGAGCAAAATAGCAAGGTCAAACTTCATGGGCCCCGAAAGGCCTTGGCTGAGACTCTCGCGGACCCCCGAAGGGGGCTGGGGCGGCTCACCTTCTGCGATGCTTCACCCTGCGTTGTCCCGCACCTTCGTCTGCTCCGTCGTCTACCTCAGCGCCTCCGCCCTTGAACTCAAGAGGCCACTTCAGCAGCGGCCCGTCCAAGGTGCGCTGGGGGGGACACGTATAACTTCGCATTGCGGATGGCAAACAAGTCTTTCAGCTTGGACCTGATTTGCGGATCACACTGTTCCTCCAGCATGAATGCCCACAACCATGGCCGACCCTCCTTAGGATTCGGATGGCGCGGCCTCGCTCGGTAGAGAAAACTAACTGTCGAGGACCGTCGGGGTCAGTGCTGCGCAGCGCGCGACCAAGGTCTCTGCCTCCGCCGACGTCTCCGCCACAGCCTCCAGCTTCTTCTGCAGGAGCTCCATCACGCACATGAAGACCAAGGAGCGCCGGCTACCACCCAGCACGCGCGCCCTCAACTCTTTCCCGTCGCCCATGGCCACGTCTTCTCCACCAGCACCTGCCTCCTCACGACGTGCCTTCTCATCCTTTCTCCACAAATCATGGATCTGGGTGATCGCCGTCTCCTCCTCCTCGCCCTTCAAGATGACCACGAGACTCGCTCGATCTTCGAGGCAACCCACTCGGCGGTCCAACGACATCAGCACTGGAACCATCTTCCGCACAACAGTGTAGGCGGAGACTTTGCTGGGGTCGGAGTGCGCGCCACTCTCCTTCTGCGGCTGGGCCTGGCCGGCGCCCCCCGCGACCCCTGCGGACGCCAGAGCATCAAGCATGGCCCGCCACACAGGAGACAGAGAACCACTGACAATCCAGTCTCGACATGCACGCATAGCTCGGCACGCTCGAGCACATACCGCATCATTTACAGAGGGAGGCCCGTAGCTCCACCCCGCGCCTGAATTCCTCTAGCTGATCGATGCCGAAGAGCTCTACGAGGTACGAGTTGTCGAATCTCCCGATGATGTTGGCATTTCTGGACATGTTGTGCGAGACGGTGCTGCTTCTCGAATTTGGTGTTGCAGTATTTGCATTGATGTTGCCATGTCTAGAAACTTGCGGGGGGGACACTGATTGGCTCGACGCGCTGCTCTGCGCCGACCCCCTTTCACCCAGACCTCGAACGGCGCATGCACGCACGCGCATACGCGGCCCATCGCTCCCACCATCTTGCCACAACACTTGCATGAGAAGGTCGCGCCCTGGACACTGACCTGCTTCCTCTCCCTCGGCTTGGTCATAGGCCGGGCTAGACGACGACCGCGACGGGGCGGGGCCTTCGGCTTGGGGTCCTGCTGCGGGGGTCCATGGCCATGAACTTGATGCTCTACTCTCGGTGGCTGATTTCCTCGGCACCTCCTCCTCACGGTCAACATGGGGACGGCTGCGGGCACTGGTGGGGGGAGGCCAGGAAGGGGGCCCCGCAAGGGTCTGCTGAGGCACTGGCTGCGTTCCTCGCAACCGCCCCCTCACGCTGGCCGCTCCTGGGAAGAGGACACGGTGGACGCATCGGCGCACATGATCGGCGCACGAGCGCTTGGAAATTACCACGTCGCAATGAGGACGCACCTTGGACGACGACATGAGACGCTGCTTTTCTTGGCGAAGCTGCCCTGAGCAATGTCGGACGCGCTTGGCG